CTGGTCCCCTAGCCAGGGACCTATCTAGAGAGCAGGTCCATAACATCCTTCTGATTTTCAGAGCTAGAGGATACTTGCCACCTTAGCCAGAGTCTAGAGATCCACAGACCTAGGGCTAGCCCTCCAGAAGCAGCCAGCCCAGGGGGTGGAGGTGGGGGTCAATAATAATTTATCCAAATAATAATTAATAATGATATATCTTAGGCAGTTATGTAGTAAGTGCTCAGTAACGTTCCTCTTCACTTAGAGGTAAGGAAACCGAAACTCAGAGATGGGAAGTGACTTGTCCAAGGCCACACAGCTATGAAATAAGAGTGTGGGGCCCAAACCAGCTTATAAATAAATGGAAGGCTGTGGAGTAATAGAAACAAGGAAAGCTAAGTCTTACTCTGGTACCAGCTGATTTAAGGGCCTTATGAACTCATTGGATTCTCATTGCAATTTTGCAGTGATCTCTTGTCTTGGGAAACTGAGGCACAGGGCGCTTAACTCAAATTTGGAAGTTCGCTTGGCAGGAGGTGTGGGTCTGATACTGAAGGCTTCAGTGGGTCTCAAAGAGGAGAAAAGAAAAACCTTGTTATGCATCCGGGAGGGGTGGGAGCGTCTGCTCTCAGGCACAGCTATCTGACGCACATGCACTCACCCTCCCAACCCAACCCGGAGCAGCAGGCAGACCCCCAGGACCCAGCAGGGCCCCCTTCCCTCTCTCCCAGGCATCCTTGGGCTGAGAGAAGGGTGAAGTACAAAGGGGTTGCCAGCCTTAGGCCCCAAGGATTGTACAATAGCTGGGTGCATAATTCATGCGTTGTCAGCAGAACATCAATTATGTGGGCCTTCCCTGGAGTTCTCTGGGGGTTAGAAACCGGAGCAGGCTTCCCCTGCCAGCGTCTGGGGGAAGCGGGACCTACTCGCTCTTAAAGGAACAGGCTCAGGGGCTGGGGATTTAGCTCAGCGGCAAAGCGCCTGCCTGGCAAGCGCAAGGTCGTGAGTTCGGTTCCTGGTACCGGAGAAAAACAAAAATAAATAAATAAATAAATAAAAATAAAGGAACAGGCTCCCCAGGAATCTGCTGCCTCTGCACAAGCGCCCTCCTACTGGGGACACAGAAGTGGGAGCAGCTTCCTGCAGGAGGCAGCCACTGGCTGCCCCATAAAATCAGCCCTGCTCTTAGCCCATGTGCTGACAGCTGCGCATGCCCCCTGAGTCACAACTTGTGAGGGGCTCTCTAGAAGTTTCTCAGCCTCAGCACTGTTGGCATTTCAGGTTGGATAGCGCTGTGCTTTCCAGGTGTCCTATGCATCAGAGGATGCTAAGCATGCCTGACCTCCACCCACACAGGGTCACCAGCTTTCTCCCCTTCCTCCAAAAATTCCTGCAGAAATTGCTAAGCATCCCCTGGGTGTCAAAAACATCCCTAGCTACAGGAGAACAACTAGTACATATCTTCCTTTCACAGATAAGGAAACCCAGGCCAGGAAAGTTCCAGTGCTCAAGGTCACTCCACTAAGAAACTGCAGAGCTCAGATTCAAGGTCCAAGGCCCACACAGCTGACCTCAACGCAGTGGTCCTGAGGAGGGTGCTGCATGTTCTACTGCAGTAATCATAGATTTGTTTTGATGGATGTTTAATGTATATATTGGTAGTGGGGGGAAAAAGTCAATTTTGCCTGTTGTTTCCTAGGATAAAGCTAAAATAAAATGAAGTTCTCTCTCTCTCTCTCTCTCTCTCTCTCTCTCTCTCTCTCTCTCTCTCGCTCTCTCTCTCTCTCTCTCTCGCTCTCTCTGAAAAAGAGTAGTACAAGTAACAAAAGAACACATACAGTAAGACATGAAAACAGAAGACAGTTTGTTTAGGGATGCACACATTTGTATTGAGAACTATGCAGAAAAGCAAAGGATGAGAAAAAAAATCTGCTCACAGGTCATCTCTAGGGTGGTGAAAAATACCAGAAAGTATTGGCGTTACTGCTCCCTGCTGAGTTCCTTAGCTTGGGTGGTGGGTCTGCAGGTGTCTGTTTGATTACGGTTCATAAAGTACGTGTAAACTAGGCTGACTTTTCTATGTATCAAATATTTCACCTTATTTTAACATGACTATAGAATTTTCATCTTGTAGTGAATGCAAATCAAGGCACTGAAACTCAAAAGCTAATTGTTTTTTGGGTTTGGTTTTGGGGGGGGTTGTCTTTTTTTTTTTTTTTTTTTTTGACGCAGGGTCTTGCTGTATAGTTCAGGCTGGCCTTGAGCTCACTTTTGTAGCCCAGGCTAGTCTCAAACTCACAACGATCCTCCTGCCTCAGCCTTCCGAGTGCTGGGATTACAGGCATGCATCACCATGGCTAAAAGCTAATTATTTTAAAAGCACAGGATACGTTGAGCAGAACTGGAGCAAAAGTATAAAGAAGCGGTACAGCTGAGGCTGAGGACACAGCCTCGGGCAAGGTTCCCTCACTTTCCGAGCTGGCCTGTATGGGCATTCGAGCTCTCCGGCCACCTTTAACCGCCGGGTCAACCAAGGAGCCTCACACGTGGTAAATGATCCATAAGTGCTTGCAAGTTGAAAACTGAGTCCTGATCTGGACCCTTCACTCACGGCTCTGGGAACTTGAGCAGCAGACAACAAATACTTTGGGAGCATCTGCGAGGTGCCACTCCCAATCTGGGTGCTGTAAGTGCAGAGGTAAATCTCAGAACTGATCCCTGTCCCCCAGCATTCACACATTCCGGGCAGCAGCGGGCATGCACACACATGCTCGTGTGTGTGTGTGTGTGTGTGTGTGTGTGTGTGTGTGTTGATTACCCCTAACGTATGGCAAAATGATGTGGGGACCTGCGGATGGAGTGACCAGCACTCCAAAAAAGCAGGACCACTTCAGAGGGGAGGAGCCTGAGGCTGCAATTCAAAGATGGGTTGGAATTCACCCGAGAGCGTGAGAAGCTCAGGTGTGCAAAACTGACCTACGATAGCGATAGCGTGTGGCCAGAAAAGTGTGACGTTTCAGGGACTGCAGAGATGGTCAGAGGCAAGTGGAAGGAACTGGACAGCCACATGTCCTTACTGGGGATTCCTCACAGGAGCCAGAAACCTCACCCGCACTCACACAGCAGCTGGGTTCACCGACAGGCTACAGCAGGCAGTGTGAGAGCATGCGCAGGAAGCAGAGACCCTGACCCACCAGAGGCGGGGGGTCTGGGCTGCTGACGAGCTGTGGGCTGAGACATTGCCCCGGCCTCGTCAATCGTCTATCACTCACCAAGAGCTGCTGGAAGCCACCCGAGCACAGTGTGGTGTGAACACACTTAATCACCAGGCAGTTCTCCACGATCAAAGCTGTTGTCCTCGCCCTGTTTGCAGAGGAAGAAACTGAGGCTTAGAGAGTTCAAATAACTTGCTCAAAGTAAGGAAGCAGGCACCAGAGCTCTCTGGCCACCTGTCACCCTCAGGGCTGGGGCGTGGGAATCCAAAACAAGCTGACCTGAGCCCAAGGTCTTAGCTGCTGCCTTCCACACCCTCTTAGCATGCTCCCGGTCCTCACTGCCCCTACTCTCTGCCCCTTCCCGTCCTTCTTTGGCTTCTCTAAGAGGTTCAGGTTTTTCTAGTTCTTTCTGATGGTGTCTCTGTCCCCTACAACTTGGGAGATACCTGCCTGGGGTTTGGGCTTATCCCAGGCTCACTTCCCTAACTAATTCACTTCCAGGACGCCTGAGCACAAACTCTCCGAGGCTGGGTGGCTGAGCCCCGCGTACAGATTGGCTCAGCCTGGATTTTCTGTGCACCTTGGGCCAATCAGCAACAACCACGTTTAAATGGTACATATATGGTGACCGGGGGCTTAGATCTTTCCCTCAGAAGTCCTGGAGATTTACTAAACAGAGAAACAATATGATTGGGTTTATATTGGGGAGGAAAAAGACCCTGGGAGCAATTTATTGCATCTGGATTTCATTAATTTCAAAAAGCGTCCATTGAGCCCTTTTTTCTGGCCCAAGCCCTGTTCTTGATCCCAGGGGTTCATTAGTAATGAAACCAAAGTCCTTATCCCCCAAAGTCCATAGTTCCAATCAGGACTTAGTGTGGGTCCAGGGCATCTGTGCCTCCCTGGAAATTACAAATTGCAAAATCATGCATGTCTGGGCATTTTTTCAGCAAAAGGATTCTCAGAGCTCATCTGTTTTTGTTTTGGTTTGGTTTGGGTTTTTTAAGACAGCCTTTTTGGTCAGGATGGCCTTGAACTTGCAATCCTCCCATCTCAGCCTCTTGTGTAGCTGGGATCACAGGCATGCACCACCACATCCAGCTTCATCTGATTTTTAAGGCAGACTTAAGAGCTCATGCTCTGGGGTCAGACTGACCTGGGTTAAAATCCTGGCTCCACCTCTTGCTAGTTGTGCAAGTCCAAGTTTCCTCCTCTGGTTGATGGTGCTAATCATATTTAATAGGCTAGCTGTAAGAATAAGATAAGGTATTGCATAGAGTGTTTAGCGCACACACACACACACTCAACAAATGACAGCTCTTATTAGTATCACTAGCATCATCGTTGTGAAAGCAACACCCAACCCTGTAATCATGTGAACCATGGTCAGCTCAGGAGTCACCAGTTATGGCCTACAAGTAAAATTCAGCCTGCTGCCTACTTTTGTAAATAAAGTTTTATTGAAACACAGTTATGCCCATTCACTCATGTGTTATCCAGGCTACTTTTATGCTGCAAATGCAGAGCTGAGGCATTCCAACAGAGAATGCGTAGGCTTCAAAGCCAAATTATTTACTCTCTGGCCCTTTATAGAAAGAGTTTGCCCACCCCTGGGCTTGCTGTTTACCGGGGAATCATTTCAATTCCCTGGGCCTTAGTTTTTGTGCCATAAATGGATTTGAATAAGTGATTTGTAGCTTAAGTAGTCATTAAGTGAGGTGGGAAAATGGTCTTGACTATGGAAGTATTGTGATGATCAGTGTTGCCGGTTGCTAACTCAGCGCTCCTCTCTTCTTATCACAGATCCTGGCCATCATTTCCATTATGTTCATCGTCCTCTCCACCATCGCCCTGTCACTCAATACGCTGCCTGAGCTGCAGAGCCTTGATGAGTTTGGCCAGAACACAGACAACCCGCAGCTGGCCCACGTGGAGGCCGTGTGCATTGCATGGTTCACCATGGAGTACCTGCTGCGATTCCTGTCCTCACCCAAGAAATGGAAGTTCTTCAAGGGCCCTCTCAACGCTATTGACTTGCTGGCCATCTTGCCGTACTACGTCACCATCTTCCTCACCGAGTCCAACAAGAGTGTGCTGCAGTTCCAGAACGTGCGCCGCGTGGTCCAGATCTTCCGTATCATGCGCATCCTGCGTATCCTCAAGCTCGCACGCCACTCCACCGGCCTCCAGTCCTTGGGCTTCACCCTGCGCAGAAGCTACAATGAGCTGGGCTTGCTCATCCTCTTCCTTGCCATGGGCATCATGATCTTCTCTAGCCTTGTCTTTTTTGCGGAGAAGGATGAGGATGACACCAAGTTCAAAAGCATCCCGGCCTCTTTCTGGTGGGCCACCATCACCATGACAACGGTTGGGTATGGCGACATCTACCCCAAAACTCTCCTGGGGAAAATTGTTGGTGGTCTCTGCTGCATTGCCGGGGTCCTGGTGATTGCTCTTCCCATTCCCATCATTGTCAATAACTTCTCTGAGTTCTACAAGGAGCAGAAGAGGCAGGAGAAAGCGATTAAGCGAAGAGAGGCTCTGGAGAGAGCCAAGAGGAACGGCAGCATTGTCTCCATGAACATGAAGGACGCCTTTGCCCGGAGCATTGAGATGATGGACATCGTGGTTGAGAAGAATGGGGAGAACCTGGGTAAGAAGGATAAAGTGCAGGATAACCATTTATCTCCCAGCAAATGGAAGTGGACCAAGAGGACGCTGTCTGAAACCAGCTCAAGTAAGTCCTTCGAAACCAAGGAGCAGGGATCCCCTGAAAAGGCCAGATCATCTTCGAGTCCTCAGCACCTGAACGTCCAGCAGTTGGAAGACATGTACAATAAAATGGCCAAGACCCAGTCCCAGCCCATTCTCACTACCAAGGACTCAGCAGCACAGAGCAAACCAAAGGAAGAACTTGAAATGGAGAGCGTCCCCAGCCCTGTAGCTCCTCTACCGACTCGCACAGAAGGGGTCATCGACATGCGGAGTATGTCGAGCATCGACAGCTTCATTAGCTGTGCCACAGACTTCCCCGAAGCCACCAAATTCTCCCACAGCCCTTTGGCGTCGCTCCCCAGCAAGACCGGGGGCAGCACAGCTCCAGAGCTGGGCTGGCGGGGGGCTCTGGGTGCCAGCGGCGGGAGGCTTGTGGAGGCCAACCCTCCCCCCGATGCCAGCCATCATTCCGGTTTCTTCATCGAGAGCCCCAAGAGCTCCATGAAGACCAACAACCCTTTGAAGCTCCGAGCGCTCAAAGTCAACTTCATGGAGGGCGATCCCAGCCCGCTCCTCCCCGTTCTGGGAATGTATCACGACCCTCTGAGGAACAGAGGGGGAGCTGCCGCGGCTGTTGCCGGACTGGAGTGTGCCACGCTCTTGGACAAGCCTGTGCTCAGCCCGGAGTCCTCCATCTACACCACAGCAAGTGCTAGGACACCACCCCGCTCGCCCGAGAAACACACAGCAATAGCATTCAACTTCGAGGCGGGTATCCACCAGTACATCGACGCGGACACGGACGATGAGGGGCAGCTGCTGTACAGTGTGGACTCCAGCCCTCCCAGGAGCGTGCGAGGGAGCACCAGCCCCAAGTTCAGCATCAGCACTAGGTCGGAGAAGAACCACTTCGAAAGTTCCCCTTTACCCACCTCCCCTAAGTTCTTAAAGCAGAACTGTATTTACTCCACCGAGGCATTGACTGGAAAAGGCCCCAGTGGTCAGGAAAAGTGCAAACTCGAGAACCACATCTCTCCCGACGTCCGCGTGTTGCCCGGGGGAGGAGCCCACGGGAGCACTCGGGATCAGAGCATCTGAGCTCCCCACCACGAAGGGGACACTTGTGGGCAAGGTCCAAGGAGGACGGCTGCTCCGCTTACCTGCCATAGAGCTTTTCTTGGTGAACTCAGAAACAGAAAAGCTCTGCAAAGCTCCCAGGGAGCAAAGAGACTCACAGAAGTTCCCTAAGACCTGGAGAGCCGTGACAGGTCCGTCAGCATGAAATTGGCCAAGCTGTGGGGACAGTGCCTCCTTGTAATAATTTTACTGCTCTCTTTGGGAGATGACACAAGCAGAGCTCACAGCCACCACCACCACCACCACCATTCTAGACCTAACTGAGGCCACCTACTCCTTCTCTCGTGGCTGTCACAGCCTCTAGGGGCAACCTTTCCACCCCTCCTGGCTTCAGCTGGAGAAGGATGCTGGAACAAGCGGATGGTATTGAAAGAGTACACTGACCAATGGGGTATTAAGTGTCGCCTGGCCACCTCTGGGAAAACCTGTCCATCACCTCCTGGATCCCACCGTTAGAAGGCCGCAGGGCACACTTGTGTCCTGGGGAAATCGCGCCATAAGCCACGATCCCAGAGTAAAACCCTTCCTCCAATGACTTCATTGACTGCAGTATTCCGTAGTACCTGAGGTTTTATTTTGAGATACCATCAGGGTGAGTTGCACCATTTGTACTCGATTCTTTTTGCCCCCTGGCAATCTGGGAAGGGTTCAGAAGGCGGGCACGAAGCCAATGGGAGGAACTCTACATTGCTTTAGGGTTATAGAAAGAAAATGATTTCTGTACATCACTAGGGTAGACTCAAAAGATATCCAAGTGTCAAATATGCAAAAGAAATAGCTTATTCAAAGAGACTCTGTGTTACTGAAGAACAGTATAAAAATCTGATTTTCTTTTTTACCTGCAAAATGAGAGGAAAAGGAAAAAAAACACCCCTCGTTAAATGCCCCATCCAGACTTTTGAATACTTCCTGCTGCAGCAGGGAAAGCACCTACTATAATAGAAATTCTTTTTTTTGTTTCCTGTGGTATTCAAGCTAAAAGAAATTTAATAAAAAGCACTTTATGTTTTTGAAATATAGGTTCTACCAGGGACAGTGTCACCATCTTGCACTTTAAAACAAGCACTATTTCTCGTGGGCCACCCGTTGGCGCTGTATTTGGGCTGTCGCTTCAGGCCCATTTCCGGCCACGGTGGGCATCATCCAAGTCCGTGGGCTCCTTCCCTGCCCCCCTGGAGCTTCCCTCACCCTCACGGGCCAGGAGGGGTTCTCGGCCCTTGGTTAGGGCCTCTCCTAAGGTCACCTGCACAGGAGACATGCACATCTCAGAAGGTCCCAGCGACGGTTGGGCATTGGGTGTTTGTTCTTTCTTGTCAACTCGCCATTGGTGTGTTTTCAGTGTCAGTCTGTCCTACAGACTCAGCTCTCCTTCCTGCAGCCATCAATGCAGACAGTACAGACAAAAGCAATAAGTATTTGTGCGCATCCTGAGCGGTTCTGGTGTATTTCTTGATGTCGGTCTTCCTGTCCTAGTTTGATGACCTGCTATCATCCTGCTTGCTTTTACTCCAACGGCATGGTGTTGTTGGCCATTCCTCAGTGCAGTGACATCAGGATGAACCACTGGTTAATGCGATGTTATTGTATTGGCTCATGTGTCAGTAAAGATAACCTGTCTTTCCGTCTGCCTGTCTATAGTACAACGGCGCACTGTTGTTCTCTCAGTGTACTGTTGAGGGATGGTGTCCCAGGTATAATAGTGTAGTTCTGCCCGGCTTCAATACAGTGGCAGGCATATGTCTTCCTGGTGGAACAAAGACAGCGTGTTGGATCCTTATCTTTAGTGCAATCTGTTGCTGGCCTGCCCATCAATACAATGGCATGACCCAGAGGTCACATTGTTGTGACACTGCCCTTAAAAATGTGTGCTCTCTGCTGCTTATGAACCCAGTTTATGGCACGTCTCAGCTTCTCCAGGGATTGTGGAGCCTCTCACAAGGGTGCGGTCTTTTATTTGCTGTGTGTTAACAAAGAAAATGCAAACTTGACTCCTCCTAGGTCTCTTCAGAGTACTCACAAGCAGAGGCAAAGGGGCCGAGGGGCAGGGAGAGTGAACGTGGGCGCAGGTCGGCACCCAGAGAGGAAGCACGGCGCTCCCAAAGCCCTTCGCTGAGTGCGCAGCAGGGCCGGGGCCTTTGAGGAATGACCGTGGGACAGTTCCCCGCTGGCCATCTTCTGTGTCTCTGTCTTCATCGCCATCTCTGTCCATCAGCACAAATGTGAAAATTCAGGGAAAACAAATGCTTTTTGATAAAAGTAAATAGTTGTGATTTCCGATTCAAATATTTTTAGAGCTGATGCTATCTGTAAAAATTAATAATAATAATATAGTCTATTTTACATATCAGGAAAGTGCACATGTTTCAATATAGCCATATATAGTGAGAAGGAATTATCACCCCTTCTTCAAATCAAGGCATTTCGTTGTTGGTTCAAGCAGATGAGACGTGTACAGATTGGAAATGATTTCTTCTTTCTTTTTTTTTTTTTTCAATGAATAACCAATTGGTGCAACTCTCCTTGTAACCAAAGGCCCTTTATGCCTTGTGTCACGTAGGACCTGGCCCTTCTTTCCTTGTGTGTTTTGTCTGACCTAAAGTAGCATTTTACTGAGTCACTTTTGAAGGACGAATTCAGAAGTATCATTAAGAACCTACCTTTTCAGGCTTCATAGCCAGAGTCCTATAGAGTTCTTATAGAAACAGAATCATTGAAAATCAGCATATACTATGCTTAGAGAGTATTCCGTTTTGGTTTGGGTTTGGTTTTTTCTTTTACTTGTATGTGTATGTATTGCAGGAATACAGCTTTTGCCCTGCGTTCAACTCAAAATGCATATTGTACATTTTCCCAGCACCCCCCACACCAACCAAAAAGGAACATACCCAGATTTTTAAGATGCATACACCCAACCTGTACCTGTGTACGGGTATGTAATGCGCTGGGAAATCTACCTAAGGTCTCCACTGAGAAGCTGAACTTCATAGCCGATCTTGGTAGAGAAGAAGAAAGCTGTGGGTGAGGCAAAGACTGCATTAGCTCTGTCTTTTCTACCCGTTGCTGGACCAACCAGAGCAAAAAGAAGCAGATCAACCCAAGTAAACAAAACGAGGGGCTGGGGTGGGTGGACACCTGGTCCCTTTGGCGAATACACTGAAACTCATCATGAACTCGAGTTCCAGCTTCCACCACTCTCAGAAAGGGCTAGGGGCCGGGTGGCTGCGCGTCCCTCTCACGCGGGAGAGTCTGGCCAGCGGGAAGAGAAGTGGCCACGGCGTGGAGGAGCCGGTTCATTCGCCATTTTGTCACTGGGTAAAAGAAAACTGGTCTTTGGTGCAGTAGATTTCTCAGTGCCTTCTTTAGGATTTCTATCTTAAGCACACTTTAAGGGAAAGAAAAAAGGAGAGAACATTTGTTCCCGTGAAGCCCCTTTCTCTAAAAAGATCAGGAATCAAGAAGAAGAAAAGGAAACAACAAAATCTTGAGGCGGCTGTTTCCTTTCTGCCCGCTCAGCTTGCCCCGATCGTGACTGATGACACAAATGCTTCAAACTCTTTCCTGAACCTCTCCTCCGCCGTGTCTTCGTAGCTGTAGCCTCGTCTCTGCCCTTTCTCCTCAAAAGATCCATGTTTCTAAGGGGGGAAAAAAACAGTATTCTCTTCTGTAAAACTGTAATGTATTGTTGATATTTGTAACTATTGTATATTTCCGTCTTGCTCCAGTCATGGCTGGAATGTCTACTCCATGAGCAAGGGGACATTTAAAATTCACCATGGACAAGGGTCACTAAAGCCAGGTCTCTCTCTCTCCCTCTCTCTCTCTCTCCCCTTTTTTACTTCTCTGCCAATTTGTCTCAAATAAGATAACCCCAGGCTGTTCAGCCTCAAGTCAAGTAAATTTGAATCACAGAAGGACACAATACAAAGCCTCCAGGACATGCGCCTTTGGGGACATTTCTGCTGTAACCTTGAAGTTGGTTGGCAAAAGAAGGGGGCTCCCCAGTCCCCAAGAGGACAGTGGAAAGCTTCCAGCCCCAAGAGGGCTTTTCCTCACCTACCACCGCTTCTGTGACAGCATCCAAATGCTTTCACATCACCCAGCCGGGGCCACCCGAACCAGCCCTGGCCGCACACAGAAATAAGTGTCGCTTCTGCATTTTCTGTTGCCATTTTCCTGGCTCTAAAAGTATCTGAGATGTTTGCACATCTCAGAGTAGTCTATTTTTCTGTTCCGATAAAATATATATATATGTATTTTTAGCAAATTTATAATAGGGCAACTGAGTCTAATTTCTTCTCTTACAATACCGAGTAATATCTTAGGAGTTTTATTGTTGGTCAGTATCATGTTGTTTTCTGGTCTTTATCATTTCTTCCCATAGTCTGTTTGTTCAGCTGTTTTTTCATTTCTTCTCTTAGCGTCTGATTTTGGGAGGTAGGGAAGACTTTGGGGCTTGACATCTGGCATAGGGACTCTCTGGTACTCGGAAGTATCCATTCTTTCCTCATCCGGCCTGTGTTTCTCTTTCTCGTTGTACTTAAGCGTCCAGGACATGAGGGCAGGAATGAGACAGGAAGGCTGGCCTCAGAATCCGGGTAGGACACAGGCTGCTTGAGCTCCTGCCCCACACCTTCCATTGATCTGAAGGGACTGCGTTTTCTCATCCCCAGAAATCTTGGATCCAAAAACCTCACGTGCAAATTTGCTGCTGGTGTCTCTGAGATCCAGAACCCTCCCACGTCCCTACTGGCCCAACTGCCTTCACATCCTCTGCCCCACACCCCTCTACCACCACCACCAATCATACCTGAAGGCCAGAGCATGTTCGGGTTCTTGCAGACCTCAGAACATGCTGGACCTCAGACCTCATCAGCTTTTTATCAGTTCCTCATTGCAATCCATTTCTAACACCCTCACTGGAAGAGTAGCCAGATGCCCTTGTAGCCAACACAGAAGCGTAGTTCCCAGAATGTGCTCTCTCATGCCCTCCTTCCCTTTCCAGCTGCTGGCTCCATGAGATTTCTTGCAGATAGCAGTACTTTTCCAGTTTCCACCTCTCCAAGGCTTGGAGAGTTTTTGGACCATTCTGATAATTAATTCCACAAGGTGGTACGCAGCATCATCGAGGCTGAGGACATCTCACTGAGCAGGATCTTCCAGGAAAAGTGATGCCCACCCATTAACCCCTGCAGGATGACAAAAGAAGGATCTCCAGCCTGCATTCATCCAGGCTTTGATCTACCAATTACCTCCCAATCAGCTCCAGGCTCTGCCCAGTATCAAAGATGTGAGCCAAACCAGGACCCCCAGAGAGCAGCGACCCATCCTAGCCAGATGAATCTCCAGAGGAAGCCAACCCAAGTACATCTTTGTTATTCTGACCCTAAGCAATTTGCCCACCCCCAAGATTCTCGGTGATCCGGTTTGAACCAGACCCAAATAAAAGAGATAAGATTTAAAAAACAAAAAACTGGGGCTGGGGATTTAGCTCAGCGGCAAAGCGCCAGCCTGGCAAGCGCAAGGTCGTGACTTTGATTCCTGGTACCAGAAGAAAAAAATAAATAAATAAATAAATAAATAAATAAATAAAAAACAAACAACTTTCGCCTAAGAATAATAAAACCAGAAAATTATCTCCCAGTAGTTTCCCAGGTTCAGTGCCCAGGTAAGCAAACACCACTGCCTGTGGTTGTCCTCATTAAGCAAAACGTTGTGTGGCTTGGGTTTCCATCCATGGTCCCTGATATTATCTTAACCCGAGCTTTCTCCTGGACTTTCCAAGAACCTGAGCTCCTGAAGAATCAAATTTGGAATGGGGCTGTTGATAGAGTGAACCCAGCTCCTCACTTCTAACCCTAAATTTACTTTTCCCACAAAGGGTGCGGAGAAGATCTAAAGCCTGGCCGGGACGGGGTAGAGTACACCAGGTGACCTGAAGAGTCTGCCAGATGGCTGCACACACACAGGTCCCTAATGTTTTCTCCTGGGTGTCTACCCAGGAAGCCAGTGCCTGGTGGGTAATGAGCTTTCATCCCTTCCCCACACGTATTTAAAGGGAGCCTGGTTGATACGCAAAGTGGGTATTGCAAAGTGTTCCTAGCCTGGCATGTAGACTGGACTGAAAACTGAAGGGACATTCCCTCTGCTTCCTGGTGTGTGTGTGTACATGTGCGCATGTGTGCAGCTTGTACGTTCTGAGCACAGGCTCAAGGCAGGGGTGGAGCACAGTTAGCAGGAGCTCAGGTTCTAGGATTTGGAGCCATCCCGGAGGGATGCCAAAGCAGGAAGGTGGCAGTAGGGCACCCTGCTTCTGTCCTGCTCCCTGCCTCACACCCTGTGAGTCACCCTTCCAGCCCAACCCCAGGGTCCTAACGGGGACCACACTGGGATGGGACGCACGCTTCCCTTCCCCAGGCCAGCCAAGGAGCAGTCCACAAAGTCCCCTCCTCTGGCCAGCTGTCTCACGGTGCTTTAGCCCTTCTGCCCAGACTCTGCGCCCTCCAAGAGGCACAGTGACCTTTTATCCACTAGCAGCCACCCACTGCCCAGGCAATCACAAATGGCACCATTCCAAAGGGCTCCCCCGTAAGTAAAACAGGAGATCCCATGAAGGACCTTCAGAAATCTCCACCTATGATAAAAATTCAGAAAGGCAAAAGGCAAGGCGGCCATAATCGGCTTCCCAGCAAAAGCAGGCTTTGGCTGCCCGCAAGCAGAGCGCTTGTGCCCCCGGCCTCCCTATCTGTTCTCGGCAGGCCTGACCCCTGCTTTCTCCGGGCGGAGCGTTCAGGTTGGGAGCTCCTGTGTGCATAGCGGTTTTGGAGGAGGTGGGACTTCAGCATCAGGCTGAGCGCAAGTCCAGGTGGTCTTAGGTATTATATAAAGCGAGGCAGGCCAGTGCGTTTGGATAGGCAGAATGAGCAGCTGCCTTCCTCCAAAACCAAATAAAACAAAAACCAATTTCCCAGGTCGCACTCCCAGGGAGGCTCTGCCCTGGAGCGGTTGCTCAGGATGTAAGACTACTGTGTTGGGCCAGTTGGGGAAGGTGCAGGAAACTCCCCCTTCTGTTCCACTGGGATGTGCTCCAGGCTCACAGGGATCCCCAGTCACTTCCTCCCCCTGGGATAAGCTGGGCCGAAAAGCAAGGGCCAAAGGTTTGGATCCCCTCCTCTGCATAGCTCTCGGCCCCAGGGCTTCCCTGGGGCTTGGGGCTGTGTCTCACAGGCTCAACAGCCAAGAGCTGGGCATGGCAGTGAGTAGGCTGGCAGCCGGCTCCTCTCCTTCCGGGTCTACCTTGACTTCAGTCCAAGGTCAGGGGCTGGGAAGCCCATTTTCTGTATCGGGAACTCAAGGTCACCCGCCAGCATGTGCCCTTGGCACACAGTGGCCATCCTGTGCGGTGCTGAGTGAGTGACTGGGGGATGACTGGGGGATGGATGAACGTGTGGGGAAGCGGGGAGCTAGGCGGTGAGTTCTCCCTTGGCTGGATGTACTGCTAAGTGGGGAGGAAGGGGAAATGGGAGCCCCTCCCCTCTCACTGAACACAGGTGCCCCACCAATACCACCTGTTCTCGGACACAGTCTGGGGTCACAGTGACATCCAAATTTGACCTTTGTAGGCCCCAACATGATAAGAGTCACAGTCCTCTCTCAGAGCCTCCCCTCCAGGGGGCTGCAGGGGCGGCGAGCCCCATCCCTCCTTTCCTGCCTGGCGGGTGCAGCCTTATGCTGTAGCTTAGCTCACGCAGCCCCTGGGAGCCCACAGAGTGGCTTTCCAGTGGGCTAAGCCGAGGGTCCAGAGTGAGGGCTTCCCTCGGTCTGGGATTTGCTGGTGCAGGAATGTGGGCACGTACACCTGGAACTGGAGCGCATTCCCTGAGCCATGGAGTCCAGCTGCGTGAGAGGGCTTGCCTGTCCTCCTGCTGTTAGAGCCAATGGCCTCCTTTTTCTGAGCCCCAAAGCCCTCTGTGACAGCATATGCCCCAATGGCATCAGCTAAGACCCTCTGTCCCTCCCAGGAACCTGTGATGTGAGGTTGGGGCTCTTCTGCCAGCAAAGCCATTCTGATCACCCCACCCATGATGGGGTCCAAGCCAATCACATTAGCCATAAACGACCGACGTCCTCAGCCACTCTTTTCTCAAGTCACGTTTGTGGGTCCTATTCATTTTTCATCCGTTGACGTCTCTAGTCCTTCCTGTAATGGTGAAAATAAGCATTGGGCGTGCATGCGCTCATGCACACACACACACACACACACACACACACAGGAGGAAACCAAACAACAAAAATCCCAATGTCTTTTTATGCATGTAGTGAGATGAAATCGTGATCCTTGTGTGACCTCCAGCTGCTGTCCTGTCTTGTAAAATATGTCCAAATGTTTAAGAATTTCCAAGCAAATGGTCCCTTAATGAAGTTTGCAGAGTTCAATAAAGGTATGGAGAAAACAAGTTTAGTGTGTGCTGGTGTTTATTTTCTGGAGGACGCAGGGAAGTAGGGGTGGGAATATCTATAACGAGGGCTACGTCTGAAGGGGTGTCATGGGTATTTTCTCTTCCCCTTAAGACAGTAGCAGCATGAAAATGTTGGCTTGTCGCCCCGGATGTGAAAGCCAGTGGTGACATCCCATCCGGCATTCACTGATCAAAGCCCCGACTCTGATCGTTTGTCAACTCTGCCTGAGTACCCCACTCATAAGGATGTCTCACAAAAGAATGCAGAAGCTCTGATGCCTGCAGGGAACAAGCAGGGCACATAAAGGAGTAAAGCAACCTGGCTATGAGGCATAAGGGAATGGTGGTGTGTGTGGCAAACTGGAGGGCACGCACCTGTCTAAAGGGGCAGCCGCTATACGTCTCCACAAGGTTGCTACCATGTGGGGCGGTGACCCAGCAACGCCAGATCATTTTAAATCCAAAATCAGGAAATATTCTGACTTTTAAATGCCAGCAGTGAATTCCAGTTTCTCTGGTCCCGTGCTGGGCAGATGAAGCATGCACGTGGGCAAACTATAGCCATAGGTTTCTGTGTTCCTGGCACGACTGATAGAGCTTGAAGATCCTAGTGTTTGTTTTCTATTGCTGTGTAATAAATACCCGCGATGCCTAGCCTGGATTGAAGCATCTGCTGTCCCGTGGTTTTCACGGGGCAAGGGTCCAGGACCACCCGAGCAAAGTGGCTCTGGATGAGAAGCTTCCCGGTGGTCACAATCAAGACATCAGCTCCAGTCCTCAGCTCCGCTGGGGCCAGAAAAACTGCGGCTCCTGCGCGGGTGGCTTAGGAGCCTCTGCTCCTTGCTCACTGCTGGCAGGAGGCCTCTGTTGCTCGCACTGTGGGCTCCGCACACGGCTCTGAGTGTCCCTGTGGCATGGTGCCGGCTTCCCCGGAGCACACGGTTCAAGCGAGAAAGCCAGGAGGAAACCACAGTGACCTGGTGCCAGAAACCAGACCACACTGCTTGCACCAGCCTACTTCTGAGTCACTAAATCCAGCTCACACTCCGGAGGGCAGGAATTCCACATCCTTAGGGGGCAGGAATTCCACATCGTTAGGGAAGGGATCAAAGATTGGGGGACAGGTTTTATTATTATTATTATTATTAATTATTATTATTATTATTATTATTTGGAGTGCTGGGGATAGAGTCTTGGGCCTCAGGCATGTTAGGCAAGTGCTCCACTGCTGAGCTGCATCCTGAACCCTGGGGACCATACTTTATTTATTTATTTTTTTTTTTAGAGAGAAAAAAATAAAACAAAATTTCAAAACAAGATAATAGGAGGGTAGTAATAATACATTAATAGGAGGGTTAATACATTGCATATTGTTATCATTAAATTAGTGATCCAGAGTATAAGATATCAGCATTTAATTGTCCAAACAATATGAGCACAAACCTTTCTTTTCAATGAACTAAGAGAAATTAGTAGTATAACTATCTTAACTATATTTTATATATATGTATATAATTTTTTTTTTGCTTTCCCCTTTCTTCTTTTCTCCATTCCCCCATCCCAGTTTCTCTTTCCTTTTGAAGTTTCTTCCCAATTCACAATATCTATTGTACATTTTGGATCTTATTTACTCTTTCAGTTGCTCACACTAGTGAGACAATACGGTGTTTACACATGTGTGTCTGATTTATTTCACTTATGAGCATGGTGGGATCATATTTTAAAACCACTATATGGCCGGGTGTGGTGGTGCATGCCTGTAATCCCAGCACTCAGGAGGCTGAGGCAGGAGGATCATTACAAGTCCAAACCAGCCTGGGCTACAAAGTGAGCTCAAGGCCAGCCTGCACTGCATAGCTAGACCTTGTCTCAAAAAGACAATAAATAAATAAATAAATAAATAAATAAATAAATAAAACCTCTGTATTCCAAAGCCAGTTTAGTAGAACGAGTAATTTTCAAACTTTAGAATGTTATAACCCAGTAAAATTTCCCACTCAGCTTGAAGGAGTGTATAAGCTTTGAAGTATTTTATTTTGCTAAGTAAGAACATTAAA